CAGCTGAACATGAGAGGTTTTTGGACCAATTTTGTGTTCTCCATTCTTTAAGCACCGTTTAAGCACCGACACCGTTTCAAAAGTACCGGTTTGGTACTGGTATCGGATAAAACCTAAACGATACCCATCCCTACTCGAGATGAGTACTGTCAGTGCGCCTCAGGGTGGCTGTGGCTACAATGTAGCTTGCTATCACCTGTGTGTGAATGGGTGGGTGACTGGGTGTGTAAAGCACTTTGGGGTACTTAGGGACTAGTAAAGCGCTATACAAATACAGGCCATTTACAGGCCATGAGAGGGGCCTGTTGAAAAAGCCTGGCTGTCTCATGGTAACATACAGGAGTCATCACTCACTGTAAAGGTGACACAGAGTTCCCAAACTTCATGCATTACCACTGCATCAATCACCAACAGGCGTTACATGCAAAGGTGATCGGGTACGTCATGACTCCCGTCGTGAAGATCATAAACAGCATCCGCTCCAGAGCTAAACAGCACAGAGCATTCAAGGTGCTGTTGAAGGAGCTGTCAGCTGACTGTGGTGACCTGCTACTAAATCCCATGGCTCAGCACGGGATGGATTTTGCTTTGTTTTTTGTCACTTTTGAGTGAAATCAGGGAGTTCATGCAATCCAAGGCGATGACACAACGCTGCTGGAGGACACTGAGTGGATACTTGACCTTGCATTTTTGATGGACATTACTGGGAAATTGAACCATTTCAACTGTAAGCTGCAAGGCAAAGGTAAGACTGTTGCTGACATGATAAGTGCTTTAAATGCATTTAAAGCCCAGATGAACATCTTCTCTGTGCATGTACAGAGAAATGCACTTTCTCTCTGAGACTTTTGACAAAGTTACAGAAAAGTACTCTCAAGACCTTGATCATTCATTTCCAATCCATTCATGAACGTGGACACAGCATGCATTGCTGAGCAACTAAGTGCAATGTTCAGCTTTATGCTGGACAGGTGGAAATCGAAATTAGAACACAGCAAAATGACGTCCACCTCAAAGCCAAACTTTGGGTGCCTTGTTGACACAGAAAAGTACAGTGGTGTATGCACAGCATCTATGAAGGTTGCCAGCCTATATGGTTCAACCTGTCTTTGTGAATCAGCCTTTTCTGACATAAACTTCATCAAGAACAAGCACAGAACACGCCTCTCTGATGCACATCTGCAAGACTGAGAGCTGCGGTGTCAAGTTATACCCCAGATTGCAACACACTGGTGAACAGCAGGAAATGCCAGGGTTCCCAGTGGCAACATGGCAGTGTCATGGCAAAGCTGAATTTAATTATTGAAAAACAAACGTGTTCATTGAATGTAACATTTGATTTTTTTTAGAAAATCTGCAGATTTTGTGACAAGTTCAGTAAAATCTGAAAGTTGATTTTTGTATGTTTCATAATTGATAATCTGTGCAGACATGGTGCAGTGCATGATTTGTTCAACATTGTTAGCGGCAAGTGAAAACGTTGCAGATTATTTGAAAATGTAAATACTTTAGAGATTTATAGAAAGAAAGTGTGTATATGTGTCTGTTTCCTACCTTCTTAAAGCATTGTTTGTAATTATTGTGAGAAATCATTAACAGAATCAGTGTCTTTACAGAGATGAATACCTTCAATTATTAATAATAACATATAATTAAAAGTAAACTGAGCAAATTTGTTATTTCAGAAGTGTAAAGTATCAAACTGGTAGCCCTTCGCATTAATCAGTACCCAAGAAGTAGCTCTCAGTTTCACAAAGGTTGGTGACCCCTGATTTACTTACCCCTGAGTCCAGTTTACTGTAGAAGACTTCTCAGGATGAAACAGACACCCAGGGTTGGAAGCACATGCCCTGTCTGCTTTCAGTATTGCTATTCCAACCCTATTCCCAAAGAGATACAGCCCAGTTTCTCTTTGACTGCAGCTGTTGATTAAAACTGTCAATCATTATGTACTGTCTAAGTTTTACAGCATCAAGTCACTAATGAAAAACAAACTTGTGAGAAACATGTACCCTTGATCCAACACCAGCATTAAAACAAGTTCTCCAGTTGTTGTTTCAGTCTGAGCTGCCGGTCCTCTAACATGGGTATGAAGACTTATTCTAAATATCCCCGAAGATGCGCGATTATAACATATACAAAATAAGACAATAACAAAGCGTATTAGGCGAATATAAAGTGATATTTACATTTTTCTGCTAGGAGATTTAACACATCATAAGCTACTTGTCAGTTATGAAGGCCCTTAAAATAAACACTGGTGCTCAAACTAAAGACATTTCCAAGTGACACAACAGGCAGTGCACATGAAAATGGCTCTCAGCGTCAAGGTGCTGTATTAAGCTTCAACAATTGTATGGGATATCATTACCATAAGTACACAAGACTAGGTGTAGAGGCCTTACCGAGGTATTTAATGGTGAATCCCCGAGGCGGATTAAGAGACCTCCGCATCCATCCCTCCCTCAGCACCTCCAGGTGGTCTTCCTTGCCTTGAATTAATAGCACATGCTCGTCAATCCATCCCAGGAAGAAAGTCTCGGACACGGCCTCTGTAATCCGCTGGTTCCATACATGATGCTGGGTATTTTCTGCTTTAAAATCGGCAAAAATCTCATAGCCGGTGTGGTGTCTCGGAAACTCGTCGCTTTCAGACACCCTGCCCCCTAACGCCTCCCCAGCCCCGACCCTGGATAGCACTATAGCCAAAGAATGGGGAGCTATCTGCAGGAAAGACTCCATTGTCGCATCGGCCTTCTAGCTCTCGGTCGAATACACTACAATCGTTTTATTCATCTCTAACAACGTCGGGCTGAACGGAAAACAAACAGTCCATGTTGGCTGGCAGTGCAGCTACGTTTTGCGGCAGCCGCATAGATTATAGTTGTATTTCATGAAGCTAGTCTGCTAGCTGCAGTTAGCTCTTTAACCTTACATGTACCCAATTTCTACATTTTAAGGTCCGTCTTCCTGTTCGGGCGGAATGTAGAGCCCCGAAACCGAACACGAAAATTAGTGTTGATTCATCTCGAGTGCTGTCTAGCAGGAGATGACATGATTCATTCTCGATTTAAACCTCGTTGTTGCGCCTGAGATCTAGAAATATTGCTACCTAGCTGGATGCTAACATTTTAATCAATTCACCCCGGCAACAGATGCGGCGAGCGCCCCTCTTCTTAGCAACAGACAGCAACGCAGTTTCGTGGGTCAGTTGGCTTTGATTTGCCAACCTTTACGATTAAGGGCCAGGCGTAATTTTCAGTTGTCAGATGATCGTGTCGAGTCTTGCGATACGCTTTAAACAATACGTAAGAATACAGCTGGATGCAGGACTGTCTCATCCAGGTACAGTGGTGACAGACGTCGCTACGGAGCTACGCTTTAATAAGTGTGAAAACATTCTTCCGGGTACATTTTCAACTTAAGACTCTTCGTGCCACATATATATGTGGGCTAACTATTCTAAATAATTACTATTACCTTGTTAACAAATTATTATACTTGAATAATACATATAAAAATGACTCGCATATAATTATACTATAGTAAATCTTTGTTCATGACTAGTTCACTTGAAATGAGCAGTTTTGAAACACACATTTTGTAGTAGTTCAACAGATCATTTTTATGAATTTTCTGAACGATTTGGGAGTGATTGTAGCCTCCCCGAAGTAACGAATCACAAATAACTGTGTGTGTTTTTTGTGTGTCTTGGCTGTGCATGGGTTATGTGCAATATGTGTGGAATATGATGAATTCTGAAGTGCTTAACAAGCTAATAACACACACGCACACAGACACACTAACTGCCATAAAACTTGCATAAAATGTTCTTGTCCTCAATTCTTCCAAGTTTGTACACACTCATTTTAGTACATGATTTGATAGCTTACACATCCCATCACTCAGTGCTGCTGCTCCAACACCTCAGGGCTGGATGTGCTGCAGCTGTCCCATAACAGACTGACCATTTAATTCAGGTGTTTTGGAGTGGGGAAACACCCCTACCTAAAACATCTAAAGCAAGCTGTCCCAAGAACCAGAACTTTGAACTGCTGCATTGCCATTATTGCCTGAAGAAAACTGGCCCAACTACACGGTGTTGCCCTGAGACAACGAACCAAAATCTGTCTATAAACAATTAAAAATACTTCTTCAATGTTCTTAAACATGCACAGATTTTAAATATATGCTTATTTCAATTTAAACGTACATAAAATTGATATTAGTCTCAGCATTAGCTAGCACTCTGTCGTGCAGATTTGACATCTGAGAGGATTGCTCCACCCCCGAGTCAAAGGTCAAACTCTGTGCTTCTCATCATTTTACTGAAAACTGAAGTGTGTTGTGTCACAAAATAAGTAAATATGTCTTTTTTAAATTATGGGAGAGTGTAATCACAACAAGATTGGTTTAATTCCTGAAGGCAACACTGTGCCATAGAGGGTTATTAGTAATGGGTGTAAATGGGTGAATGTGGTATGCTCTATATAAGAACCAGTCTATTTACAGATTCTTCAACCTGCATTTGTGGGATTGTAAGTCAACCAGTGTGGTTGTGTTGGTCACTCTGGCAGAACCAGTGCACTCAAGCTGATGGGATTCCAGAAGCTCAGAAAAAGAGTCAGCAGCAGAATCAGCTGTTTGACACTGGCAGAGAAGATCTGGCAGGTTTTCAACCCACATACTCAACCCTACTCTTTACTTTTGGTCCTAAGTTTATTATTCAAGTCAAGGGTAATCATTTATTTACATGGGCTGTTTGGTTGAGTCATTCAGCTATAGATAGATAGATAGATAGATAGATAGATAGATAGATAGATAGATAGATAGATAGATAGATAGATAGATAGATAGATAGATAGATAGATAGATAGATAGATAACGTAATAAGTAAAGTTAATTCTGCATGTCACATTTTTCCTACCTCACATAAGCAACTTCCATGTATAACACAGAAAAGGAGAAAAAATAAGTTGCAAATAGGAAAACAAAAACTGTTCATTTCAAAACAAAGTGCTTGAATTATCTGGGAGGCAAAACTTAACATCTTCTGCAACACAGGAACACTGATCAGGAGTTGCTGGGGGGACAGTGTGTGATTGGTGTACCACCACATGGCCAGAGGGAGGAGCAGTTTGCAATCTCAGGTCAGGGAGAAAGGGAGGTTGGAGGTTGTGGCTGATAAATCTGAGGGGCTGATGAGAGTGCGAGGCTGTGACCCTGAGTGTTTCAGCATCTCTCAGGTGTGGATGTTGAAAATTTAAAGGGCAAAGGAGCTGATAATGCAGGTCGCTGATGGAGCTGAGGCTGTGCAGGTACGAGACAAGCACCTGGTTTGTTCCCACCTTTGGGGACAGGTGCACTGTAAGACCGGAGAGGATTGTAATGAACAATTTGAGACCTGACCTGCTACAAAGACCAAGAAGCTTATCGTGGACTACAGGAACTCCAGGGTGGAGGGCACACCCAGCAGTTTGATGGGACAGAGGTGGAGAGAGTCAGTGGTTTCAGGTTCCTGTGGATCAACCTCAGTGAGGAATAATTTGTTATTTGCAGGTCACTCTGGAATGGTTATTTGGTGGCTGCACGAGTTTATTTCTCTTCACTTTTCACGTCTCTTCTCTTCTTTGTCTGTACTTGTTATGTCTGCTTTGCATTCAGTGCTGGAATTTATCACATAAACATACAGCACACACACAAACACACACAGCAAGCTTCATGCCAACAACAGCCTCGGCCCTCCTGATGGTCAGTCTGTTTGCGTCCTTTGCTTTGACGCCTGCACCCCAGCACGCCACAGCAAAGACGATGGTGCTGCCAACAACAGGCTGATAGAACATATGGAGCAGCTGCTGCAGACACTGAAGGATCTGAGCCTTCTTAGAAAGTAAAGCCGGCTCAGAGCCTTTGTGGAGGCAGCGTCCGTCTCAGCAGACCACTCCAGCTTGTGATCCAGTTGAACTCCCACATACTTGTTGGATGTCACTATTTCCACATCAGTCCCACTAATGCAGACAGGAGAGGGTGGGGATCTGTTTCTGCAGGTGGTTCACCTCACACCACCTCATAAAGAGACCAGTCCGTCCTCTGTACTCCTCTTCCCGTGTCCACACTTCCAATAATGGCCGTGTCATCAGAGGATTCCTGGAGGAGTTTCTGTGATGTGCTTGAAGTCGTCCGTATGGATGGTGAAGAGGAGAGGGGACAGCACAGTTCCCTGGGTGCTCCTATGTTGCTGTTCAGACTCTCTGACACACAGCTCTGCAGTCTCACAAACTGTGGTCTGCCTGTCAGGTAGATCCACTGGACCAGTGGAGCCTCCACCTGCATGGACTCCGACTTCTCCCTCAGCAGCACGGGCTGGATCGAGTTAAAGGCGCTAGAGAAGTCCAAGAACATTATCTGAACTGTGGTGTTGGGTCGAGGAACACGCTCTCTGCAGCACATGTATCACTGCATCGTCCACCCCCAGGTGGGGCTGGTATGGAAACTGCAGAGGGTCCTGTGACTAACTCTCCAGGGTGAGTAAGTTGCTAGTTGTTACACTACAAACGTAAGAGACAGTCTATTTTTTCCTGTTATTATTTAAATCAGTGTGGTGGTTGCATTTGGTTACCCATAGGTGTGTGTGGGACCATGCAGACAGCAACATATGTTCGTATCATCACACACACAACAGCTGTGTGCATTCTTAATGCCTTGTTGTAGGAGGTAAGTGTTTGCCCAGACTGTGTTCAGTAAGTTCAAATCATCACATCACATTACTGTACACTGGTACAGCACATGTGGGTGAAGTTCTGGTGTGCAAGCTTCCCAAGCAACAGTGGTGTTTTCACGGTGAGCTGTGTGGCAGGCAGAGGTTGGACCCAAACGCAGGACTCAGAGATGGGAGCACTAGAAACAAAACCAACATTCAAACTTGGAAGGATGATCTAAACTGGGAGTTCATGACGTGGCATGACATAACCTGACAAAACATGACGGCCGAGAAACACACAACTTTTTATGTTTTCGCTGTGTGGTCTGAGTCAAGAATATAGTGACGTATTTGTAACTTAATGGGTGACTGAGACTGAAGAGCAAAAATAAAACTCAGATGTTGTACTTCTAGGTGAGATGAGAATATGTTAATTTAACGTTTGGTCACATTGTTGCAAACTATTTCTTTGCAAACTAAGGTGAGTAAATTTGAGTAGATACGTGTCACAGATAACTTGAGGATACAATAAAGTAAGTATTGGTGATATTACGGATAACGTGGGTAGAATAAGCTGAGGTGATACAAGTATCTTCATCAACTCCACAATAAATGTTTATGAGGAAGTTACACAAACACATTAAAGAGGGTGGATAGGAGCTTTTCATGGTTTACACATCATTATAAGGCTTGTCCACAGGTGGCTTTTCACATATCTTATGTATAACAATTGTAGTTGAATCGTTAGAACACAATTCAACAAAAAGTTTTTGAAATAGTCTCTAAACTGAGGTGACATTTACTTTCAGTCAGCTGAATGTAACATTTTTTGCTTCTCCTAGTGTGCTGTAATACTCAAGATTTGTTTTGCTGTTTTCATTCTCCAGAGTTCGGTGGAAACGAGGAGCGAGAGAGAGCTGCCTGGTGGTGTATCTGAAAGAAGAGGATCTCTGAAGAGAACAGTTAGTAGGTAAATCTCACTTTGTTTTGTGATTATATATTTTTAAATGGCACTGTCATGATGTGCTGTGTATAGGACCCAAATGCAGAACACTCAGAGACAAGACTGAAACTGAAGAAACTAAGAACCACGAACTGGGAAAACCACACAGCAAAATGAGGGTACAACGCACCACGGAAAACACAGGGCTTAAATACACACTGGAACAAACAGGGAATGGGAGACAGGAGGGAAACACAGCTGGGAGAAATCAGAGCTAATGAGACAAGGGGAAGCAAAACCAGACACACTGCACAGGGACTATCAAAATAAAACAGGAAGCACATGACAGACACAGAAACACAGACTTGACACCGAACAAAAGGGACACAGGAGCAAAACCCAAGAACTAGAAATGACAGAACAAAGAACTAGAGAGCTAAAAAAAATACCGGGAGAGAAACCTAAACACTAATAGTGACAACAATGATGAAGTCTAAGATCAAAAAACAGAACGAAACCCAAAACACTGGGTCACCGACTCAGGACTGTGACAGGTACGTAAAATACTGACGTCTCCTTTTGGCCTGCGTGGCAGGATGGTGAAGAAGTTCCCAGAAGACGTGGTAAACATCGCAGTCACCAGTTCAGTCAGTCCGAAGCTGGAGGACAGCATCTCAGAACAGTGTGAAGACGGAGTGAATGGGTGTGTTTTAGCTTCTAAACACACCTTA